AAGCAAGAAATTTGCAGTTTCGCTAAAGAATAGCGTTTATCTGAAGCATATAAGAGGTTAAAATTTTAGAGCAAATTTGATTAAAAAAACCCAATGTTGTATCTCAAACACTTTATGCCAACACTGTTCAATTGTATTCATTACAAATAATGGCAAAAGATAAAATTTAACCAATCTTCTTCAAATAATGACTAATAAAATAATCTTAAAGTGTTCTGCAAGTAATGTAACTTTAAATGTTTTTCTGTTTTTGATTTGCTGTTTAAAATTCTGCTTTTAGGATTATAAAACATTTCATATAGACACTATATGTTTGTTGGCAGTTCTAATAGTTTGTTGTGTTTGGTCATATCGACACTGTTGACAACACTCAGATGTTTTCATCGACTTTAAAATAGCTTTAAAATTTTTTGAAAAAATCTCTTACACAGCTAGGAACTTGTCCATTATATGACCAATCATTGTTTGCAGATGCTTACACTTTTAAACAGAACTAAAAATGAATTATTCTTTCTGAAAATACTTTTCTTTTTTAGCTTTTGGGCAATTCCATCAACGCAGTTCTGATGTACTTTTTAAATAACAACTGTTACTGTCTGAAATGGTACCTGTGTATCGTTAGTTAGCAATATACTTTACTTGGCATTGAACTTTTTTTCCTAATTTGTGTTCAGATCTTCAATTATAAGTAAACAGAATGAATAAATGATTTCAAAAAGACAGCAACTTTTGCTATTTGATTCTATTAAAGAACGACAATTTGTAACGTATCAGTTTGTCAATTTTGAGATGTATGAATATATACATAGATGTAAATGTTTGTACATTTAATCAAAAAATAAAAAAATAAATAAATCAATAAACAAATAGATAGGTAAGCGTTGATAGATAGATAATAAGTGAAAATAATCATCTGATTTTGTGTTTTCTTCGCTTCTTTTTTTTTGCTAATTTCTAGTTGGGTTTAAACGTATATAGGCGTTGAACGAAGCTTACAGGGTTTCATAGTTGTTTATAGGTAAAGAAAAAAAAGCAATTTTTGAACCAATTGATTGGCAAACGGCAGCTGTTTATCAAAAGTGGTCTGTAGAGGTACACTCAGCAAAGCAGTCTGGTCAGTGTTTTGTTGACTTTATCGTTAATGCGATAGCTCTGAAGAAACTTTTCTATAAAACTGGTGAAAAAAACTCAAAAAATTTCTGAATTATTGAAAGTTAGAAAATTATAAACTAAATTTTATTAATTTTTGTGTTTGATATCACCACTACTACTACTTCATTTTTAAACAAACTTACTTGTTTAAAATATAAGTGCAACACTAAGCAAGAATAAACAGATAAAAATAATAAATTTTTATAATAAGAAGCACTTTTTTTTGGTTTTTTTTTAGTAATTTTAATGTCAGAAAGTAGTTTGATAGGTGCAGTAAGTTGAGCAGTCTCTGTTTATAATTTTCAAAAAATTTGTAGTGATTATTAAAACTTTGTTGAATTTATATAAATCTGTCACAATTATTAGTAATACCTCATATAAGTGAAAAGGTAACTGTTGAAATAAATAGGACTCTATACCACTGTCAACAATTGACACATAGCTACACAGTTGTACTAAAACTTACAAATTTAGCAGAATTTTTAGAGTGTGTTACTTTTTATAATATCAGAAGCTGATGTCGAAAAAAACCAGTCAACTTTACAAATTTCCTTTTCAATTAGTTATACAAAGTTAAAAAATATCGAATGACAAGTTTCAAAAGACTTAAAACTTATCAAGCATAAACAGCTTAAAATTTCACGAGTGTTAGTGTGCAGGTTCATCAAGTCGTCCTTATTTCAAGCACAGCTTAAGACAATTAACATCTAAAAATTTCAAATACTTTTTATAATTATAAAAGTGTAACATAGATTAAAAAATAAGATCAAAAAGTAACATTAGTGTCAATAATAGAACAAACTATCTAAAATTGTGGTTATAAAAAAAACTTTTTTGGGATGTTAGGCGTAGCTGCTGATTTACAGTTCGCACAAATCTGAAAAAAGAGACTAGTTTAAGCATAAAACTAAAATCTGTTAAATCTTTACATAATGTTAGCAGTCAACAAAAAGGTATGTTTTGGGTTTTCCTAATTTTTCTGCAGCATACAACTACGTTTTAAAAATTTGATTACATCACAAATAAAAAACACTTCAATATTTGTTATGTCATACGACTTGACGTATGTTTGAATGTGAAATTTTTATGCAAAAAGTTTGAATCTTCAAAAAATCTTAACGATATTATTATCAAAATAAACTTTTCAAAATAATTATCTGCACATTTGCAGCTAAGCATCTCATTGAATAGCAATTCCATCCAACAAGCAATTGAGAGATGTAATTCTGTGTAGTTTTTTAGACTAGAGTAACCACAAAAAGCTTTTAGATAAAAATTGCTGCTTTTTATGAAAATAATGCTTAAGAAAACGAATGCAACTGAATTATCAAAAGCAGTTAAACAAAAAATATTTATCCTTTTTAGCTGTATGCAATCAAATTCCCATGAATCTGCAAATACGTCTTTTTCCGTTAGAGAATCAAGGGTTTGCCTCAAACGTAACTATAAATTCAAAAATTTAATTTTTATTATGATATTATTTTGTAAAATTATATTTCTCAAATCTAACAATGTACTTCCGTAACATTACGCAGTTTATTTTTGTTTTTCAAATCAAAAATGACCACAAAGTATGCATACTACATGAAAGTGATCTACAACCAAAAACTTGTGTACTATCAGTTCAAAGTTTAACGCTGTCACCTGATAAGAGAGTAAAAGTAAAAGTGTGGTTTAATGTTTGAGAGTGATCATTAACTATTACCTGATTACTTATGATTCATTTAAGAATGCGTATATCTATTAAGTAGGGGCGAGGTACCGCCAAAGGAAAAAAAGCGATGATATTGACATTAAAAAAATGTGACCGGTGACACTACGAAAAGAATTTCAATTGCTGACAAACAGTGACGACAGCGCGGATAACTATGGTTTTTGTCAGTGCTTCTTCATTCTGCTGACCATATAAACCTTATCGGAAATGAATTGATGAGTTTGCGTAGCATTATGCACTGTAAACAGAACACAAACTAGAAAAGAAGTTTATTCAGTAATTCTCAGAATAATCATGTCCTTTTACCGGAAAGACTGAATAATAAAGCAAAAAATAATAACTTTCAAGAGCAATAAATAAAAAATTTTGCTGTAAAGCTAGAAAAATGATTAAAATTTTTCACACAGTATGAATTATTACAATAAAAACAAAAAGTATTTATTACTGTGGTTTGTAGGTGATTCAAGTTTCCAGGTCATTGATATAGCTTTGAATCAGTAAAAAAATCTGTTTACCGGATAATTAGTTGAAGTCAAAAACGTATTACTATTGTTAAACTTAGAAAAAACTTCCAACAGTTGGAAAATTGTTTTTATTTTTTTTTTTTTAAGACAACATTTCCAAATAAAATTGTTGTTGTGCTCAATAAGTTTTAGTAAAATGGTTGGCTAAAATATGTAGAAATTTCTGCAGTTGATGAATTTTGACCATGAATACTGAAAATTTTGTCATTAATACATTAAAATATTCCATAAAATTATTTTTCAAAATAAGAAATTACAATGTTCAATAAAAATGCAAAAAAGAATTCAAGTTGGTCAATCTCATTCATGTTTGATTCTTGTTCCTGTTTTTCTTTTGTGAAAAAACAAACTGCTTTGATATCATTTACATATTGTTGGCTTAAATGTACTACAATTTGAAACTGTTGGCTTAAATGTACTACAATTTGAATTGACTAGTTTTTGGAATATGCGGCAGAGTCTTGGTAAGTAGTTACAGGAGGAAACATCACTAATTCGTTAGCTCAAATTTTTATGGTATAATGACGTCGTTAAGTGACGAAATAATCTCCCACCCGTTTTCAATCTGTATCTTTCTTCCATTTCTGCAGCTAAAGCCAATATATTATCATTTTGTGACCACAAAAAGTACATCGTTGTCACCGTAATCATTTTCAAAATGTAAACAAGTAAACCGTTATCAAAAGATCGCCACTGCTTTCAATACTATATAAATTTAGGCCAGTCGTCAACGTAACATCACACTTCGATTCCATTGCAGTGTTCTGTGCAGATGACGAAGTTTCTTCCAGTATTGACTGCTTTTCTAGTTGCTGCAGCCGCCCATAGGCAGCTTCCGTTTCGATTCCAACGGCCGACTGGCATTGTAGAGATCGACAAAGGACTCCAGAAGTTTTTGGGCGATATGGAGAATGTACTAATGAAAAAGTTCGACGATACGCGAACAGATCGAATGCACTTAACAGAAGAGGATTATGGCTTTCTCAGTACCAAAGCAAGTTATGATTTTTCCCTAGAAAGTGGTATCGACAAATTTACAGGACTACTATCTAACAGAATCTCAAAATCTGGGGAAGAAGCTAGTCTTAGTCAGAGTAAATTTCCCAGTGACAATCACGAGCCACATCATCCAAAATTCCCACCACTCTTTGCCAATTTGACCATAGAAGACCTCAAGCAATTATTTGACATTCTCAGAAACGGTAGTCTCACAAAAGAGGAACGAGACAACAAACTGAGTGAATGGGCTAAAGCTCGAGGATCTGAATTTGCGGTAAGTTGCTCAGTGCAAAACTTATTTCTAAAGTTAAAAAAGTAAAGTTTTTCACTGTTTAACCTAAAACTGTATGCAAAAAAATAGTATTTTTTTTAGGAGAAGTTTGAAGAAATAAAAAAGAAACTCGATCAGTTTGCAGCAGAACTTGAAGAAGCAGAAAATAAGCTTGTCCAAAATGTTACGACACTGATGAAAGAACTCAGTGCGATCAAAAATAATATGCAGCTTACAATAGACGAGGAAAAGAGCGAAGTGGGTTTTAACAACGTATTTTCCTCCCTGAAAAACTGATGCATATTTGGTGATGCGCTTCTCTAAAATACGCAACAAAGATGCAATGTCGTTTGATAATTAACAATTAGTAGAATGAAAACCTCAAACTTTTTAGGTCAAGTCACTTCTTTCCAGTTACCCAAGGTCTGTGATTAAGGTTATGAAATTGGTAAAATCTCAAGCTTTCAAAAATGTTATCTTTTCTCGTCCAGCAGTATCACCACTGCCATCTGAAGCCACTCCAGCAGCGAAAGATGATTAACCTTGTTTTAAATGTTATTGTAAGGAAAACCTTGAATTGTCTTTTACAGTGAAATGTGATAAGTTGTAAATCTGGAGCTTTATAAGTAACGTAATGAATAGCGTTTAAAAGACGCTGTACTTTTTAAGTTTTTTATAGTCTCGTGCTGATATTTGTACAAAAGTAATGGTGGATAAAGTCATTAAATATTATGTGGTACAGCTGAACTGCTTATTACCTGGTTGATACAAAAATCGTTGAAAGGCAAATTTTTAGACACATTTTGAGCTTCATTACTAAACACCTTAATTGAAGATTGAAGATTATTAAAAACGAAGTTGTCCAGCAACCATTCTATTTAATTTGAGCTAAATACAAATATAAAAATGTCTGGGATGGCAAAATAAGAAGAAAGTGAAAAAAGTTGGCCACTCTACTGAAAAAAACTAGAAATGGGGAAGACCGATGTATTGATAAATGCTTTATAAAGTTAATGGTTTCTTTAAAAAACGACTACCACAGAGTATTAAAGAATTATAAACGCTTTTGTTATTTTTCTCCACTTTTTATTTGCTTAATTTAAAAAATTCTTATTTTTAGAATTAAAGAAGCAGAAATCAAAAATGCAGTTTAACTTCAACATTACTTTAAAGTTATTTTTTTATAAAAAACTTATATTGTAGTTTTATCTGATTATCTAAAGATTTCTTGATATATTAGCGATCAGTTATATCCATCACAATGTTCTAGCGTAGTTGCTGCAAAATAATGTCAAGAAAGAAGTTCCACAGTTTTTTTTATTTCTCAGCCATCTATTAAAGAAGAGTGAATACGACGACAGCAATTTGACGCTCATAAATCTTCTCTATAAAAGCTGGAAAAGATAAGTAAAACAATCTTTATAGAAGGTTAAAAGTTGAATTAAAGACAGGTGCTACATTGATTGGAAGGTTATTCCTAAATAAACTAGAAAAAAGTGGAAAATTTTCAAGATTAAAAAATGGTTGCTCTCTATTGCAATTACCGCCGAGACTTATTTGTAACAAGTAAAATTTCTGCGTTTGTTTATCTTATTTGTTGCTACCTGTTTGTGGTATAACTAAATGCCTAAAAATTGTAACGATTTTGAAGCTTCATGAAATCTGTTTGATGAAGCCTACTGAATCAGCAACAACAACAAAATAAGAAAAAAAGGAAGGAAAAACAGAGTAACAGTAAAGTGGTTGTAATGATAACTGTCACTGCGTAAAGCAACCCCCAATTGCCAAAAAACTTTAAGATTTGCATTTTCAAAAATAATAATTACCAGAAAAATGCGCGGCGACAAAACATATTTGAAATAACTAATTTTTTAAACAAAAACCTAAGATTTTTGAGAGAGATAAAGCAAGGAGTAGACGACAGTTAGCGAATTCCTGGCTCTCATAACCGCCGCTTCGCAAATTCGCTACTCTATGCAGCTATTTGTTGTAGCTTTTTTCTCTTGTAACTGCTGAGTCTCAATTGTCTTTGTTGCATAGTAAGAGGTATTATTATTTCTGTTGTGCAGTTCTCTCTGTTGAAATAACTTTTTGTGAATTTGCAAGAAATATCCGAACGAGAATGGGATGCGCATCGCAATGCTAATATATCTCTGCAAAGTAGAATAAGACACCATGTTTATTGCAGACACAGAAAACCATTACGCTACAGTTTGAATTTTGTTTTTGAACGATCGACAAGTTCATAAAAGAAATAAATGTTTTACACAGAGGTTCTGCACAATAGATCGTCATTAATAAGACCGGCCACAGCGACATACACGGGAATCTGGACATAACTACATATCCTTTTGATACGGGTGGTTTCATCACCACGATGACACCGCTGCATCGACAGTTTGTAAAACTTTTAGTGTTTTATGCTTTTTTTTGTTTTTTTGTTGTTTTTGCAGTATAGTCAGCAGTACTGTCCTGACAACACTGTAACATTTGTAAATCAATTTAGAAGTAGCTACTAACCACACTGTCATCTGCAGTGGCACAGATGTTGTCAAACGTATTCTTAATTCTGTGAATTAACTTCATAATTTTTCTATCATCTTTTTTTTTGTAGACTTATATAATAATCAAAATTCTCATTTGTGCCACAACTACCGACATCCTTTATGAAGAATGCTCTCTTCTCTGGTGCACAATAAAAGGAGATACGTAACAATCATGAGGAATACGAGCAAAACCTAAGAAGACAGTCAAAGAAATTCCTCATAGTGTTACTAATTTGATGGATCAGATAAGTAAAATAAAAAATAGTATGAAGTCCAAAATCAATTTATTATTCTTGAAAATTTTGAAGGTTCCCTTTCGTGCTCCTCTCAAAACACACGTGAAAAGAGATCTTTTTTGCAGTTTTATAAGAACGAATTATAAGAATTTTGAGGACTACGATTCTATAAGTAAGAAAAAAAATAGTACATTATTGCAATGCTTTATCTTTTGGATACATTAAGGCTTTTAAGTTGTATTTGAGAAGTAATAAGCAATTTTTTATCGAATTTTTTGACTATAGCTGTCAAATAATATTGCAGATTTCCTCAGTTAATTGAGAAAAATTGATAACTTAGCGAAAAAGCAAACTTTCTAAACATATTTGAGATCAGATTTTTGTATACTTTAATGAGCAAATAAGATGTTCTGAAAAACTGTTGCTACAACCATTATAGTGGCTAAACTTAGATATTTTGATTTTCGACTAACTGCTAAAAAAATGTTTTATGTGATTTGATGACAAGAGAATTCGTTGAAAAAGTAATAGTACCGAAAAGAACACCAACGATAGTAGTAAAAAAGCTCATTAACGTTTCTGACCTTAATACTTCATGATAGGCGACGCTTAATGAAGAAAAATTGTCATCAAATATTTCATAGTTTCACACAATTGTGAAGCGCTTTTTT